CTCATTTCAAGCAAAAGGGCCTCATTACCCTGTAGCTCATTCCTCGGTTGTTCTAAGTTCTAACCAACCAGAATGTGATTCTCTGATGGTAGCTTATTGATATCTGGTATCACATTTATGTTGGCTAGGTTACTACCCATAACAGTTCTAACTAACCATCTTCTTTCCATCCTCTCTCCCCTTATAAGGATGGAAGTAACCACATAAAGAGCGAGCGCTAAATTAGATAATTAAACAAAGAAAAGGTAAGTGTAATGATTATATATGCCACCTTTTAGATATAAATGCAATAAAGAAGATAATCAAATACTGCAATCACACATACTAGTCTTAGAACACATAAAACTGATACCAAATTGTAATATTTTCCTTGACATTACTAGGACAACATACTTACATGTTGGTGTGATAACTAGGATTAAATAAAATCTCAAGTAAAAGTTATTACAACCCAAAGGTTTAAAAGTAAATAGTTTACAAAATCAAGATCTTAAGAAAACTCTTTTACAAAAGTTATTTGAGCTTAAACTAAAGTCTAAAATCAATCAAATATGATAACGAAAGCTTGGAAACACAATTTGCACTTAAAAGCACACTTGGAGTAAAATTGAAAAATTCATAATTTGCAATGTCTATCATGACGCAGACCTTATTCATCGTAGTGGATGTCACAGATAGCCATCTGACGTCCCATTTGAGTAGTTCAAGTGTCCACACGAAGCTCTTCAAGCCCTCTAGCTAATGGCACTGGTCTTACACTCAAATAATCATCCATTAAAAGCATGAACACCTAAATCCAAAATGGTTTGTTTCTATCTCAAAACACATTCCAAGGTGTCTAAAATATAGTACCAAATGCCATTCACTCTAGAATCAATTTGACAACCTTAAATGGACAACACACAACACACATGGCCATTCATATCACACAAATAACAAAACATATTCAAAATGACCATTAAACCCTCAATTCATAATAATATAAAGGGGTGGATAAAACTTAATATAAATATTGTTTGGTTATTTTCACACATAAATCATCACAATTATATCACTTGTATTAGTATCTTGGCCTCTCACTCATATTTGATTACAAACAATACAAGCCTAGGCCGAGATACGCACACATTTCATACATTCTCATACAAGTGATTACAAAATCATGAAAATGCTCCTAGGTTGGCATAATAATTATGGCATATTTGTTACAAACTAAAATGACAAGGAGAAGAGCTTTACAAATGAGCTCTTCACTCTTTGGTTGCTACTTCCTTTCCCTTGCTCCTATCAGAGCCCTCACCTGTAAAATATAACCATGATGTGAGATAAATGCTCAATAATAGAATAATTCACTACTAATAATTAAAATGCACAACCAAAAGTGAGTAAAGTTTATATGCTTCAAAACATACCTTTAACATAGTTCAAGATAGTCTATTTCATAATTGATATTCATTTTTACTCTAACATGATTATTCTACAATCCGAGCTCCATATCATTCTGACTAAATTTATAGGCTCTTGGGCTAAGTGCATATTTACAATGACCTGAGCTCACCTTTAGTAATGAGATCACTCAACAAAAGATGTCATATCCCATTTTTGAACTATGGTCTCCTCTTATCACACACAAATTAAGGTGTCGTTACTCTATCATTGTATTATTGATGTTAAGGAGCATCACTCTCCAACATCATATCCCTCATGAATACTAAAGAGATAATCTCTAACACCATGCCTCACTAGCCACTAAGGAGATACATGATATATGGACTTTCACTACTCCTTCCTACGAGTGAATTCCCACCCCTAACATGATCATGCTCATATATCTTGTATATAACACATAAACATATCATATTCCTCAACCAATCCATATAAACTTTCACCATTCTTATTGTTTGCAAATCGTTCTACACACATAAAAACACATTTCACAATATGCACAATTAACAAATCTCAAGTAGCAAATTAACATATCTACTCATAAATAATTAAGTAATATAATCAAATAGTGTAAATTATTTTGTTACCCTAACCTTTTGTCACATAAAAGGGTTACCATATTTCAACGTTAGCTCCACATATTCCCACTCATACAATAACACACAAACCACCCTTAATCAACATAATTAAGTGACAAATCATCAATCATCACCCCGATAAACCCTGAATTCACTAGGTTCCAAAAATCGATAACTCTCAAATTTTTTATTGACAACATCAACCCTTCCAAAATACTCTAACAATCCTATTTAGCATTCAAATATACGAAAATCATCATCCAACCATCCATATTGTCCAAAAACTTCTAAATTATACCTAAGGTTTGCTTAATCCCTCAATAAAAATTGTAAATCACCATAAAACCCATAAACCTAAGGTTAGAAGCTTGATTTAACTCCTAAAGACCTTAAGTAAGCCAATGGATTTGGTCTAAATCTAAGGAAATAGAGATCAAAGCCTCCATTGCCCCAAAAGTTAGAAATTTCATATAATGAAGGAGAGGGAGAAGAAAGGGAAGCTTACACAATATATATAAAGCTTTTAAGGCCTCTAAAATTACATTAGAAGCAAGCCATAGTAGTCACAAGCCCCTTCTCCATCGCTTCTTTTGATTTCTCTCTTTCTCCTTTTTGATTTCGGGTTTGATTCATGACTAATAAAATGTAGATTTTGTAGGTTTGTCGTAGCACATTGACGCGTCCACCGCAGAATATGGCACAGAAAGCCCCATTACACTTTGAACTTCCCTTCATGCCATGGCCCACTCGAACTTCGACCTAACCTTTTTCTAAAGTTGTCCAAGGATCCAAAAACTATATTAATTTTTTATAAATATCATTAATGAATAATGTATCTAATTTGACCAAAATATCCTTAAAAATATTGATAATTTCCAAATTGAAAACTTAGGATGATACAAAGGGGATGTTGCACTTATTTTAAAAGTTACAGCCTCATGTAACATTGAAGTTGAGGATATCAAATGTTTTTGACCAAAAAAAAAGTTTTGAAATATTTTTACCTTTTAATCCTACTTATTAAATATAAATGTGTATAAATAAATGTAATGACCAATCATAAATTATTTAAGAATAACAAGTGACAAGGTAAATTGGTTGAATCCAGCAAACTTTTGGACTTTTTTTTAACCCATATCCTGATTCATTAATAAGGGTTCCTTATTTTTCTATTCAATTTGGCCAGTCTAATCCAAGTTTTAATTGAAAAGAACTTAACAACTTTAATGTATGCTTGTTTTTCAATTAGATCTAAATAAATGGTTTGTTACTCATTATTCATCATTTAAGTAACCATTTTTTATTAATACTATTAAATTCAAAATTCACTTAATTTGATTGGAAATAAGTTACCATTTGATTTGACAAAAATAAGTTTGATTACCTAATGATTTTTTTTTTCTGTTTTCATTGCTTTAATTTGGTTTTTTCTTCGCTTTTAACTGAACCAAGCATTTTGAGAAGATCCATATGAGATGAACTAAAATAAGAATAGATTAATTTGAAAGTAACCAAGATGCAGGTTTTATTGCATTAATTAACATGTATGTTTAATAAAGATGCATGCCCAGATACCATACGTTCTTAGCCTTACAAATGAACTATGATGGGCTCATAGTGGAAATGGTTGGTGAGGGCCTTTTTTAATAATACTTTTTCATGTTATCTGTTTTTGTTTGTCTTTCTTTTCGGTTTGAGGCCATTACTGTTGTTTCGAGTGGGTTTATTTACGGTTTTGTTTTTAGTCGACTAATAGTTTGGTAATAAATTGTCCATTTTATAAAAAAAAAAAAAGAAAAAATTTATCACCTAAGGGAACTTGGAAGAATTTAATCAACTTATACAGGGAGCTTATTTTCAGAATTTTTAAATATATCAAATTGGCCACTATCTGCAAATGAAAACAATTTTTTTTTTTTTTTAACTTCCAGAGTATCATTCTGTATCTAATCCTATACTAATGCTAACTTGAAGAGTCTTAGTATGTGTTCAAATTAAAAAATTTACAACTGAAATTAAAATTCAATTAAGGTTACCAAATTAAGATTAGAAGAAGAATCAATGGATATAATATGATTTACATTTGGATACATTTTTTCTTTTCTAAAAGTCAGTAGGATAAATTGAATTTTATTTGGATGATTTGATTTAAGAGTCAGGTGAGATGTGCAATGATTAAAATGAACATAAATATATATATATATATATATATTAAATATTGAACTTTAAATTATAATTTTTTTAGAAAGGAGTCTATATTTTCATCAAACTTGTTTTGATATTTTCTAAATATAAGCTATTTCTCGGGGGAAAAAAAAAACACTACTCTTCCGTGTCCAGTTTGGTGCTTTCTTGTCAATCATATACTTGTTAAAATTTTTAAAGATTAGAAAATAGTCAAAAATATTTTCTTTAAAAATTTTATTCAAAATGAAGATATATAATGATAAAAATGTACATGAATTTTTTTATATATAGTTTTATGATTAATTTGATATTTTTAAAAGATATTAAACTTAGAGTTAATAATTTTTTTAAAGAGTAGATTAAAAATAAGGGTGTGCTATCAGACAAACATGGAATCTCAATAAACATGAAGAAGGCAGAGTATAGAAGTGGTGATAGGACAAGGTGAAAGAATAAAGAAAGAGAAACTGATAATCATTTTAAAGCCCTTAGTGTTGCGTCAATAAGAAAGCCCTTTTAGGAAAACGCTCATCTGATCCCAAAAGCTCTCTTGACCTTTTTATTCAAACATGATTTTATATCTTGTAATGGACTTTTTACCTTCTAAGGTTTGGGCTCCCCAATCTCAGTCGGAAAATAAACCAAACATATCCTTAATTACCCTCAATGAAACTTTATCCTCAATTGCATTAGCATCACCTTAATGTCGCTGGTTTCTGGGAAGAAACTATATATATATAAACTAAAATTTAGAACCCGCTAGTTTAATATTGTAAGAATGAGATGCAATAACCAGCAAAAAATAAACCGGATTTTCGGTCAAGATTATGCATATATCATATATGCTTATACTCTGCATCAAGACTACATATAAATGTGGCTATATAAGTACAGCAAGACCCACAAAATTATTTTTAAATCTTAGGAGAATCAACTAAGGGACTTTTCTTTTTCTTTTTGGTAAGGACGATCTCACGAAAGAATTTTGATTGTTTCGGAATCTTCTTTAAATCTCTTTCTATTTTCTCCTTCTTGCGTCGCAGCTCTTCTAATTCTCTTGTTTTTTCCTCTTTCTCAAATTCATATAATTGTTCAACCACTGCGTTTTGCAAAAGAGCTTTCCCTTTCCTAGCCTTTGCCTGTGACCATTCATAATCATACAAAAAAAAAATCAAATTATACATACAGCCAAAAAAAAATTATTTGAAAGTATTAGAAAAAAGATTTGGTATAGTATACACACAAACAAAAGAAGAAGAAAAAGAAGATACTTACAGGGTCGACGAGAGCTTTCTTTTCCAACAAGACTTCAAGGAAATCGCCTGTTATTATTCTGTTTATTTCATCTAATCGAAACTCTATATTCATCTTGTTTATTTCTGCATTTACCTTTTCCTCCATCAGATCCATTTCTTTAGTTCTTCTTTCAATTTCTTCCTCCAATATATCTTCCCACCTTTCCAGTTCCTCAAGCCTACCACACAATCCAAATGTGTATATATATATATATATCACGGCATTGATCAATAGAAAAAGATTAATTTCAGTCATCAGTGATAGATTTTAAGATACATATGCCCACATGAAGTTTAAATTGAACTAAAAGTAAAGCCAATTGAGTGTACGTACTTATGACGGAACAAGTGAATTAACAACCAAAACATTTAGTGATCAGATGAGTTTAATGGTCTGATGTGTGTGATATATATATATATATATATAGAAACTCAAGAACATACGTAACACTCAACAGAAAGCCCAGAAACAAATCAAGATATCTTGCTTTATTTCTTCTTGAAAGTAATGGATGTAGAAAGAGAGATTAAGTTTAAATATCTTTGACAGATAAGTCAAGACTTGCAGGATCTAAGTTCATTCAATCATACAGATCAGAAAGCAAGTATTGAATATATTTGCGACGGAGACTCAAGAAAATATGTAGCACACTGAATCATAGATTTCAATCACGCAAGCATCAGTATCAACAATTCACAGTATTGATCAACAGATTTCAATCAGAGTCAAGATTATTAATTCCTAATTGATCAATGTGTGAGAAAGAGAAAGAACTTACGTAACTGCAGTCAAGAACGTAAGCATGTTGCAAGAATCAATATAATGAATAGCGCATCAGAAAGCCCAGAAACACATCAAGATATCTTCGAGAGTAAAGACGATTCTTGAAACATCAATTTCAGGGATTAGAAAAGCTTTAATCAAGGGTCTGATCAATTTGTGTGACAGAGAAATTAAAGAACTTACGTACCACTCAGGAACAAATATAACATGTTTCAAGAATCAATACCAAAAATTCACTGGAAGGGTCTGGGGTGTGTGTGTGTGTGTGTGTGTGTGACAGAGAGTCGAGACTCAAGAAAGAGAGATTAATTTTAAGAATTGACCTTCGAGAGTTAAGACAATGTGTTGCAAGATCAACATAAAAAATTCACCGGAAATTAAAAAGTCCAAAACCAAATCAAGATATCTTGGTTTTAGAAAGAGAGATTAATTAAGTTTAAGAATAAACCTTCGAGAGTTAACACAAGAGAAGCAGAGAGTGTTGTTGGGTGGGAGGCTCTGGTGACGGCGATGACTGAGGACGCGGCGGCAGCTACAGAGACGAAACGGAGAGAGACTCTTTTCCTTCGGCTGTGACGGAGCATTGCTCCTCGACGAGCTACGTCCACAACGATGCATCTTCTCTTCTCTGATCTCACGCCAACTTGAATGCTTTGAATGAACTCTCACTTGCGTAAAACTTGCATTATATACACACACGCACGTGAGGATTGTTTAGTATTATATACTACTTGAGTTATAATCGTTTGCTTGTTTTTTCTTTAAGAAGAATTAAAGAAAATATTTGGTTGGTTTAATACTTGTGTGTTAGAGCGTGCCACGTCACAAGAGAATTGTAATATCCGTTAGCCACCTCATAACATTTCTGACGCCTTTAATATAGCTGTAAGGTGTAATAATAGAATTGTGTATATTAAAAATAGGCTAAAATATACCAAGCTCCCCTAAAATCTTGAAACAATTATATCTAACATTTTTCACTTTTAAAATTAATCTCTTTAACCTTTTAATTTTTTTTCACCAAAAACTCCTTACCATTACTTTTAGTTATCTTTATAAGAGAAGCTGTCATGTCAGATTAAAAACAGACACGTAGTAACTTATGTGGCATTCAATATAAGTTAATAATAACAACAAAATATGGGTAATTTTTTTTTATAAATCTATTTACTGGCTTACATTGAAAACCATATAAGTTGTTACATCTCTATTTTTTTTAATATGATATAACAACTTTTTTTTTTGTAATGGATAATAGTATGAGATGTTAATTTTAAACTTTTAAAGTTGAGGGGTCGTGTGTAATTATCTCAAAGTTCAACAAAGTTTTGTATATTTTAACTTTAAAAATATAATGAATTCTCAAACAAAACAATTTTATGTAGAGTAGCTTGAAAGAATTCCAAGTATATGGATTCAAATAAACTCCGAAGTAAAGACTTATTCTATATATATACTTGATGTTAAATGTATTTGCTTTGTAATGATGAATATAATTTATATTCATATGTGCTTTTTACATTTTTTTTATTACATTTTAGAGTTAAGGGTCTCAAATTTCCCTCGATGAAGTAAAAAGAGTCAAGATCGTCCCTAAAGTTAGAAAAGGGACATTTATGTCCTTCAACTGCTAATATTTTCAATTCTATTACCCCACCATCTATTTTGTCAAATTTTACTGCTAATAGGCTCACATTTGAATTTTTTAATATTTTAGTAGGTCCCTACCATTAATAGGACTAAGGGTCTAAAATGCCTACCAACTAAGCAGAAAAGGTTAGGATTACCTCTAAAATTAAAAAAAGGGTCATTTATATTCTTCAAGTGCTAAGATTTTCAATTCTATCACCTTGTCATCTATTTCATCAAATTTCATCTTTAGTGGGGCTCATATTTAAATTTTTTAATATTTTTAATGGGTATCACCATTTTTTTTATATTTTTAGTAGGTCTCCTTAGGACTTAGGCCACACCTTCAAGCGAGTCTCTGCTCAAGCATGTAAAAATTTAAACTTCACACCACGGCTCTCTAATAGCTTCAAGCCCTGATATTTCTATTGTAATTCCTAACCTTGCTCTTAAATCTACCATTGCTAAATGGTGCTAGATGTAATGTTTGCCTTGACATTACTAGGACAACATACTTACATGCCGTTGTGATAACTAGGATTAAATAAAATTTCAAGTAAAAGTTATCACAACATAAGGGTTTAAAAGGTAATTAGTTTAAAATAATGGGTCCCAAGAAAATCCTTTTAAAATATTATTTGAGCTTAAACTACAGTTGACAATCAATCAAATATGATAATGAAAGTATGAAAATCATAAGCATATGAAAATAAGATAATATAATTCTAGACATTTTTTAGAAATTGGCCCGTTCATCATGGTGCAGGCTACACTCGTCGCTGTGGATGGCACAAAGGGACAAATCCCCCATGAGTATTGCGACATGGCGAACACCTACCATCATAGCACTCCAAACTTCTAAAGCGCACTGTTTTGCCATCTGACACCCAATTTGAGCGGTTTAAGCGTCTACATGAAGCTCTTCAAGCCCTCTAGGTAATGGGACTGATCTCATTCTCAAATAATCATCCATTAAAAAGATAGACACCTAAACCATTTAACCCAAAATGGTTTGTTTTCACCTCCAAACACATACACAGTGTCTAAAACACATTACCAAATACCATCAACTCTGGAATCACTTGGACCACTTCAAATAGACCATGCACAACACATATGGCCATTCATATTACATAAATAACCAAGCATACTCAAAATGACCACCAAATCTCCAATTCACAACAACACAAAAGGGTGGATAAAACTTAACACAAATATTGTTTTGATCATTTTCACACATAAATCATCACAATTATATTAGTTGTAATTGTATCTTGGCCAAACACACTCATTCAATCACAATAATATCAATCTTTGGCCAAAATACACACCTACTTCACATATTCTCATACAAGTAATATTTTCAATCACATCTATAGTAAATGTTTATTTTTCACTTTAGCATATTTAGCAAATCCTTTCCATAAACATAAGTCATTTACTACTAGTACAATCATTCTACTATCTAAGCCTCTATATCACCCCAACTGAAATCATAGGCTCTTGAATTAAGTGCACATTCACAATGGTTTGAGCTCACCTTCAATGATAGGATCACCTGGCCAAAGGTGTTTTATCCTATTTTTGAATTATAGTCTCCACCTATCGCATATGAATCAGGGTGTCAATACTCTAACATCACATCATTGATGATAAGGAATATTACTCTCAAACGCCATATCTCGCATGAATACTAAGGAGATAATCTAACACTGTGCCTCAAATCTCCAACACCGTGCCTCATTAGATACTAAGGAGATACATGCCATATGGACTTTTACTATTCCTTCTTATGGGTGAACTCTTACGCCCTAACATGATTATACTCATACTTTTCATACATTTCACACACTTGTGAGAAATCACAATCTTATTCACATAAGGACTCAAAAATATTTATCATTTCAAAAGTAGTTTCTTATGCACGAGGAAAAATCGCCTTTCACAACATGCCAAACTTTCAGAACACATGTAAATAAATATACTTATATACTCACAAACAATTAAGCAAGATAATTAATTAGTGTAAATTATTCTGTTACCTTAATCCTTTATCACAAAAGAGTTACTGTAGTTCAACGTTAGCTCACATGTTCCCATTCGCATAATAACACATGAATAACTCTTAATATACACAATTAAGTGATAATTATCAATTATCACCCTGATAAACCTTGAACTCACTAGGTTTCAAGTACCCATAACTCTTAATTTCCTTATTTAGCAATATCAATCATTTCAAAATACTCTAAGTATCTTATTAAACATCCCAACATCCCAACATACCAAAATCATTATCTAATTATTCATATTGTCTAAAAACTCTCAAATTATACCTAGGATTTGTCCAAATCCTCGACAAAAATTTTAAATCCAAACTAAATCTATAAACCTAAGGTTAGAGGTTGATTTAACTCTCCAAGACCTTAAATAAGTTAACGGGTTTGGTCTAAACCCAAGAAAATTGAGATCAAAGCCTCTATTGCCTTAAAGTCAAAAATTTCATATGATGATGGAAAGGGAAAAAGAGAGGAAAGCTTATTCAATGTATATCAAGCTTGTAAGGCTCTAAAATTATGTTAAAAGCAAGCCCTAATAGCCGTAAGCCCCTCCTTCGTCGTTCCTCTCAATCTCTCTCTTTTCCTCTCTGATTATAGGTTTGATTCATGACTGATAAAATGCAGATTTTGGACATACACCATGGTGCATTGACTCATCCATCGTGGTGCATGGCATAGAGAGGCTCATCACAATTTAAACTTCCCTCCATGTCATAGCTCGCTTGAATTATAACCTAGCCTTCTTCTAAGGCAATCCAAGGATCCAACAACTATACTAGTCTCCTACAAGCATCATTAATCAATAATATATTTAATTTGACTAAAAAACCCTTAAAAACACTGATAATTCTCAGTTTGAAAACTTAAAATGTTACACCAAAACTCCACCAACCATTACAAGAACATACTTTTGGTGCACTATTTAGGTTGGTCACTCATGACAATAACAAGATTGCAACAACGTCTTGGGTGTGCTACCACCGCTACTCTACTTGCTTTAATCCAAGAACGAGCAAACAAGAAAGGGAATGAAGGGGAGAGAAAGAGAGAGAAGAAAGAGGGAAAGGAGAGAGGGGTATTTTTTAAAATTATAAAAAATATTAAAAAATTATGGAACCACTAAAAATATTAAAAAAATTGATTGTGGGTCCTACTAATGATGAAAATTGATAGAATGGACATTAAGGTGATGAAATAAAAAATCTTAATGGTTGATGAATATAAATAACCTTTTCTTAATTTTAGAGATGACTCTAACCTTATTTCAGATGCTTGCCTAAAAAAATATGATTTTTTTTTTAAAAAATACTTGGGTTAGGCTAGAATCCACCTAATAATGCTCACATAGACTAGGATAATAACTAGGCTTGGTATAACTATCCTTTTGTTTTGATCCAATCCAACTCTAAGTGAATGGGATGTTCCCCCAAATTGGCAAGATGCTATAGAAGATAGATGCTATAAGATTTTTGTAAGAGTAAAGATTGGGAGCAGGTTGTCTCCTGCTCTATCTTGCCCTCATAAGGGCAGCATTTTTAAAATTTTGTTTTGACCAAATTTTGTTTTGACCAACAAAAAAATTCCATAGATAGGGCAGGAGCAGGAGAGAATCCCACTCCTTGAAGATTCCAAAAAAAAAAGGATATAGCATTGTTGTCTATTCAGATTGTCAACAACGATACATGGGGCTCCATATGTTAAAAGATAAGTTGGAAAATAATCAAGTTGATCAACGAACAAGTTAGAGGAAGCGAGATTGGAAGAAGACTATAGAATGGGATGATAATGGCAACTCGAGATGTGGCTTCACGAATAATTTGGGCTATTATCCTTGGCCTGTTGCTACGATGTTACACTCCTTTTAAAAGAGACCAAGAGAGTTAAGGCCTTTAGGTCAACCAAGTAAAATACCTCCATCTCATGAGTTAAAGAAATACTGAATCAATGAAATATATGAAAACTAGAATGATTAAATAATATTATTTTTTTATGGACTAAAATGCATTTTTTAAACAAAATAGTTTAGGATAAGCTTATTGGTTACCCTAAACTATTTATTAAGGCAATTTTACATCTAGTTAAGTATATTGTTGTATTTAGGCCCATGAACTAACAAAACGTTGACTTTACCATTAACTTTATGTTGGCTTTAAATTATAGAGCATTTTTATCATTAAAATATTCATAGAAGAAAATTATAATTTGTTGAAACTTTTGTTTATATGCCTTTATATTAGTTTATTCTAAACTATATATATATATATATATATATATGTCACACCTTGAAAATAGAACATGTTTGGCACAAAATATAGAGATAATACTCATATTCTAAAAAACTTTACTCAAGAAAACTCTAACTTATAACCATGAAGACCTTTGATAATAAATTAAGCCATCCTCAATACAAACCATATGAATAAAAGATTTAATATTTTATAAAACAGTAGTAGCAGCAAGGAATTCTCTTCCGATCAGTAAATATCAAAGTATAAACCATAAAGATGAAAACCCTAACTATAGCTTATGTGGAGCACCTAACATAAGAAATTTACTTTAAAGAAGTTTGATTTTAGCTTTTCATCTCATCTGAATATTACGGCTCCTTAGGAATTAGCAGAAGGCATGACATCACTAACATATTTGAGACTAAAATAATAATTTTCAGTGAATAACGTCCCAACAATAAATAATAGAACTTGAATAAAAAGAAAAGTTTAAAATAATTGTGAGTTAAAGAGACAACAACTTTCAAAAAAATGTAATAAACTTTAAAATAGAATAGCTCTGTAAAATTTTTAAAATTAGATTTTAAATCATTATACTATCATGGCAAATATTAATAGGACTTGCTTCCAAAAAGTACATAAATGAAATAAATAGTTATAAACAAATTATTGAATAACATCAATGGAACGTAAAATTATCAAATAATTGGATTCATAATTATAGGGACGTATCAGAATAATTACGAATGTGGACACACAATCCACAGAGATAAATAACCAAATACAGCTTATGCCATGAAAACAAACGTGGATACACAATCCACAAGGGTAAGTAATCAAATGTAGCCGAAGCTATAAAACAAAAGTGAACACACAATCCATGAGAGTATGTAACCAAACGCGGTCGAAACCACAAAACAAACGTGAATACGATGCTCATGAATAACTATCTCTCCATTCCACATGTGTTGGCCATCGCACGGGGCTAGCATCTCCTATAAACACCCTACTAGCTAGTGTACCATGGCGTGCCAAGGGCAAACAGAACTGCCGTAAGCAACCAGTGTTCTATATAAAGTTCCTTTTTTAAAATCATTTTCAAACATGCGAGAAATTAATCACTATTCAATCAAATTTTCCTTTTCAATGTCGAACTCACATGAATCGTTTCTCCGTAACAATTCTATAATTTCCAAATTGAAATTTCATAATTAGAATTCAAACTTGTATTTACTAATTAACTAAAATGATCAATTTTGATAAAATAATTTCACGAAATAAAGTAATTTAATTAACAAAATATCTCATAATCACATTGTTGTCGTAAAAAGAACTTACATAAAAATGTAATATTCGAATAAAGGAGATTTTAATGAAATATCAGTTGGGACGCTATCATTTACTTCAAGTGTTCCCAAGCACTAAAATTCATTCTTTAAAATTTCAATCAAGTCTTCCGTTTTCTAAACACCCTATTCAATATAAAAAAATAAAATTAAAATCCTTTACCCAAGTTTGATAAATTCTCTTTCAACATTGACAACACCAAAATCAACTCAGTTTTCAAATCATTATAATTTATGTTTCAATTCCTCTAACCCTCTAATACTTTATATGTCCACCTTTCTATTCAACACTTTGATTATATTTTTAACTTGTCCTTCTAACTCTTCCATAACACATATAACTAAGCTTACAACATACAATGGAATCCACCAAACACGAAAGAAAGTCTCATCATCTTCATATTTTATATGCTTCACGATTCAATACAATAGCTCAACTTTTATCACTACAATCTGTGTGTGTAAACAATTTTCATAGCTTGCCACATTTCAATGGTACCACTTCACATAAGTCCAATTTCATTACTTCCATCATTGAACACTTTATTAACATCCCAGAAGCTAGCATAAGAACAAACTGACCTAGTCGTTGGACTATCAACCAAATACTTTTTCAAAAATTCTTAATTCTAGTTTCATCCTTCATTATAGAACATATTTGTCTCCTATAATAATTTAACTAACAACAATCAATTTATTACAACTATTTGCTATCAAAAACCAACATCCATCTCTTACACATTTTATCAAGCACCTTGCAGGCATTCAACAATTAAACTATAAAACAATCATTTTACTCTTTAAATTCCTTCCTTTCCAAACTCAATTTAAACTCAAATAAAATTCCAGCCCTTACTATCGATTCATTATCATGCTCTTGACACTAAAATTTTAACTTGATTTAACTTTTCATTTCCTTATCAGCATAGCACAAAATGATACAAGGTAAGGAGAATTGTAAACTCAATAACTTAACAACCAAACACATGATTCGCACAAGAGAAGATTAAAAACTTCCTAGATCAGACCAGTCCAACAAAGCAAAGAGAAAAGGAGCAGAAATCGAAGGAGGAGTAAGAACCTGATGCTCTAAATCATAGCATCTCGAACAGAGGAAGGAAGGAAGGATTCAGCAATGAGAAAACAGGGGAGAGAGTTTAGGCATCACCATTGCATGAAAGAAGACCATTGGAGGAGCAGGGAAGTGGATGAACTCGTGACTTCAGCCTTGACAGCAGCGGATTCATAGCGAACACCGACATCAGCAATAGATTGAACGGCCTAGCTCCTCACTCGTACCCTTCAGAGATGCAGAAAGGAAATGGATGATGAAGAACAAAAGACCAAGACTCTCGACTTTCTCTCTGGCTCACACTCTCACTAGCGACGGCAAGGATGAATGCCGAAGGAATAGAGGGAGAGAAGGGACAATCTCTCCGGCTCTGGAATTTTCAAAGAGGAGAAAGAAAAATAAGAGGCGATGGTGCGTATCCGACTGAGAGATGATATAAATTTGAAATTTAGGAAATTATGAAAATTACAAGAGAGGGCCCAATATTTCTGCTAATAACACAAAAAAATAGGGCACTTTGGTAATTTTTTCACAATTTTAAACTAAATAAAATTAATATATTTCAAAAAAATTAAACTTTATACCTTCAAATAAGTTATTAACATAAACTTCACTAACTCACCCTTTTTCATTTTCCATAAAATATAAATTCAAATAATTTTTTTTAATCTAAAATTTAGGGTCATTATACTCTTTCTTACTGTGCTTTGTTTTCTTCAATCAACAGGGAGTTTTAAAATATTAAAGCTTGGGAAAAATTACAAGAGACCCAGAAGATATTTTCTTAACACAAAAGTCAAGGATATTTTGGTAATTTCATTAATCATCAAAAAAATAAAATTACCTTTGGCATTGGTAAAATTCGAACCCCCAATCCTTTAAGTAAAGACCAACATAATTTTCAGTAAGCCATTACTTCCTATTCATCATAAAACTTGAACAATTTAATAAAATATCAATTAAATGAAAAATCATTTAATTTAAAATCCAAAGTCATTACAATATATAACATAAAAGTGTGAGAATGACAAATGAATCACAAGGAAATAGGCAAATATAATGACAAATAAATATCATGAAATATGATACTTTGAAGTCCCTAGTGACTTATCTTACAGTTTAGTTATGCAATAATAAGCATTTTTTCTATATTAACAATTTCATTTTCATAATTAATAATTTTAGTTTAAGTATTAACAATCATAGTTGATCATAATTTCAATTTAGTCATGCAATAATTATGCTTGCTATTTTAATAACTTTATCTTTATTATTAACAATGACCTTAGTTTAGGTTTTAATAACTATCTTTTCCATTATTTTGTAGAGAGTCAAAAAAAAAATTTATAACAGATAACTATTTGGGGACTTCAGAGTAATTATCTCATTTTGTGGTATTATCTTGTCATTTGCCAATTTCAAGGGGATTTACTTCTCATTCTCCCCATAAAATTTATAACAAGGCTCACTTTTTATAAAACTGATGCATAATTTTTTTTTATATATTCAGTGCATTAAATCAGAAATTATGTTCAGTTAATATGATTCCTCATCAATGCTTATTAATATTTTATTATAAATACTAATTATAAATTATTAAAACTGAATTAGAAAGTATGCTAACCGGGAAGAATATAAGTAATCCAATTATAATCCTACATAATCATGCCGATGGTTGTAACACAAATCCAATTTAAAATTAAGCACATGTACAATGTTCCCAATTCTATCATTATACCTTACAGCTATTTTAAGGCGTTAGAAATATTATGAGGTGGCAACGGATAATACAGTTCTCTATGGCACGCCGTGCAGCACGACTATAAACCAAACAAGTACTTTCTTTAATTCTTCTTGAAAAATACACAAGTAAATGATTATAACTTGAGTGTGTGTGTAATACAAGTTTGACAGTTCATTCAAAGAGTTCAAGTTGAGGGGTCACAGTGAAAAGAGAAGAGAAGCATGTCTCGTGGTGGACGTAGCTCGTTGAGACGCAATGCTCCTTCGCTGTTGCAGAGAAAGAATGGTCTCTCTCCGTTGCGTCTCTGCTGCTGCTGCCGCTTCCTCAGTCATCGCCGGCGCCGGATCCTAATACCCTACTCCACTTGCTGCCACTCTTGTCTTAGCGCTCGAAGGTATCTATATTTTCAATCTCTCTTTCTAATAAGACATCGACAAAAAGTAATATATAAATATATATATCATGATGCGTTCTTGAGTCTCTGACAAACGCATGCATCAGACCAGTATTTTTTTTTTTCCTGTGCTTTCCGGTGAGTTTTGAGCTTTTGATGTTGGTTTCTTTCACACACATGTTCTTAAGTTCCTGAACGTTACGTAAGTTCTTTAATTTCTATATCACATACATCGATCAGACCCATGATTAAAAACTATTCTTTTCTGTGAAGTTGATCCTTCAAGAATCATCTTAACTTGAAGATATATATTTTCATGTGTTTCTTGGCTTTCTGACGAGTTATTGATATTGATTCTTGTAACATGTTCTTGAGTGTGCCACAATATCTTCTCGTCGTAAGTACCTTAAGTTGGATTTTTTTTGGATTCTTGTTATATATATATATATATATATATATTATGTATTGATAATTTTTTTGGAGTTTTTGGCAGGCTTGAGGAACTGGAACGGTGGGATAAAATATTGGATGAAGAAAGTGAAAGAATAATGAAAGAGTTGGAACTGATGGATACAAAGTTATATATCACTATAGACAAGATAATGTAGAGTTTAGGTTAGATGAAATAAAAAGAATAACAGGTGATTACGTTGAAGCCTTGTTGAAAAAGAAAGCCTCATCGATCCTGTAAGAATCTAACTACGATCTGATTTCTTCTTCTTTTCTTTCTTTTCTTTTTTTTTTTTTCATCAAGAACAAAACTTAAGAAAATATAATTATATAAAAAGAATCTGTGAAAGTCACTGATTTCTGGTAGAGATAGAAGAACAGTGTTCAATTGATTAATTTTATGTGTATAGCATATATTCCAGTTTAAAAAGCTGCTTGTATAACATAATTTTTTCTAATATTTTCAATTTTTTCATGCATATGTTATTTATGTATACAATTATTTGACATTTGTTTGGTGATTGATGACTATGGTCATAGGAAAAGGCAGAGAAAGCTAAAGCTCTGATACAAAATAAGGCAGTTGAAGAATTATTTGATGCAGAAAGAGAGGCTTTAACAAGTGAATTAGAATATATGCGACTTAAGGATGCGAAAATAGGAAGAGAATTGGATATGATTCCGAAACAATCAAAGTTCTTTAGATAGTTGATTCTACCAAGTTTTTGGATTCATTGAAGGAAATTATAACCATATATAATCTTGGCAGAAAATTATGTTTTTTTTTTGTGTTCTTAATATCGTTCATACAATATTAAAAGAGCAGGTTCTAATATTTAGATCACACACACACACAAACTTTCTTCACCCAGAAGACAGGGACTCTAAGGTGATGCTAATACACTCGATAATGGTTAATTCAAAGTTATAGATATAATTGTTAAACTTTCAAAGTTTATATTGATATTACCAGATCATAATAATAAAATTGATCTTGAAGTTATTAGTACAGGTGCAGAGGAAAACCTAATTAAATAGTTGCCCAAATCATTAGATGGTATGCAGCCCAAAAATTCAGTAATGTTCTTTTGATGTGTGTCATGAATAAAAGCAAGAAGAAAATGAGGCTTCGCAGAATTTGTACTTTTTTGTCATCTTAATTTAAAATATTTAATTTTTAGTTAAAATGATAAATTTGGTCAAACCTAGGTCAATAATGATATCTCGGACCACTGACTCAGAATTTGTTCTTCCCAACATTTTTATACGTCGGGTAAAAATCCTAATATATATATATATATATATATATAAGCTTTTTCTGGACAAAAAATAATATAAGGTAAGGTAAAAGGCCAATAATCTTTGATATTTGACACCGGTCATAAGCGTTTTCCACCCTTTTTTTTTTCTGAAGAAAGATTAATTGAACCAATATTTTAAGAACCAGACTCGATTAAACTGGTTCAAACGCCACTGGTTAAATGGCTCAATTTCATATACTTTAGAACTGTTTTTGTAATCAAACTGCTTTGACCTATTTTGAGCTGGCTATCCAGCCAAAAACAGGAGTGGCGGCTTTCTCAGAAACAGACTCTACTTTTCTTCCTAAAAATATTCCTATCATATGAATTTGAAATTCAGTTTCGATGCTTTTGAGTTTGTTATTACTATGTGAACTTATTAACTAAGCTATAAAATTGGACTGGTTAAGTTTATTTTTATGTAATTTAATAATTTGATATATATTTTTATTTCTTATACATGATGATGATTTTTTCTTAATAGATATGATATTTCGCTTGCAAGAATTAATTGTTTATATAAACTTGGCATTTGGTAAGGTATTGGTGTTCCCCTAGATGCACATACGGTCTATTTCATTTTGGCAACTTGCTCTAAGAATGTGGATTAATTATTGTTACCTGTATTTATAATTTGGATTAAGATCCAATTTTGTCCCTGTACATTTTTGTTAGGAGTACTGAACATATTATACTCTTAAGTGGGGCAATTTTACCCCTGAACTATTTTTTCGATAAGCAAAAAAACCCTTTTATTAGTCAACCATCAAGTTTTTCATTTTTTAATGATGTGGCACGTGTGTGGAGCCCACACATAGCCACATGTAAGACTGTTGACCATATCTTTTGATGTTAATTTATTCTAAACTCTTTTTCAAAAGCAGTGAGAATTCTAAAATCTTTTTTAGGGGCATTGGAGATCCTAAAGTCTTGTTAAAACAAAGTTTAATAAAAATTGTTAAAATATTTAATAACTAAATATTATATTTAAACATTAACATACCCATCCAATTTAATATTTTGTATTTTTTGCAATTTTATATTTAAAAATGAAGGGAATGAACCTCCAAATTAATGAAGGAATTTTTTTTCTTCTCATCTCTCCATTTTAAATTTGAATAGTGTAATATTTTGAAGAAAGATCATTAGTTGACCAAAAAAATTATAGAAAATGACCTAAAAAATAAAAAATTTAACTAATATTAAAAATATAAGTAGTTTTGACACACACAAAAGATATAATAATTGGTCATTATCCTAGAGAGAAGATCAAAGATCGATATATAAAAAATAAAAAGTCATCTATAAATTTATAAAATGCTAGTTTGAGTTTTTAATATTTAAAAAGTAATTTATAAAATTTGAATAAAACTTATAAATAATAATATTTGTTATAAATATATTTGTTAAAATATTAATACTTATAAATAATAATATTTGTTATAAATATTATATTGTGTAGATGTTCATAA